ATGAGTTAATTATTTTTAAGTAAGTATTTGTTGTTGTGCCTGCATTTAGACAATAGCTCGGTTCTTTTGTTTAGTATTGACTGTTTGTCTGAATATATATGTGAAGTTTTTCGGTTATGCATAGGTTGCAGCGTTTTGTTTTTGGGGAACAAGCCGATGCTCTGTAGATAATAGACCATTTGATATTGTAGGGTGTGTTGACATGGTATATTTTAGAGTCAAATCTAAATAAACCTAACAAATTATATTTTATTCTCTACAAATTCCTTCCGTAATTAAATTAGCAACATGTTTTGAAAAGCGTCTTGAGTTTAAAGAATGAATGAGGTGCATTTGAAATTTACACCGACGAATCTAACGAATTTGAATTAGAAAAGAGTAACCAGTAGAAACTTGCTTTGTTGAGTTCCCTCTTTATTGCAGGTTGATTCCAAATGGTATTTAAGGATTAAAAGCAAGAATATACACAGTATTAAAACATTGGAATGCGTAAATTTCACTTCATAATTAACCAAGAAAACGTCTACTGGTGTGTCGTGTTAATCAGCAGATAATTTCCATGGCAATGCGAGTGTAGCTAAGCGTCTCGTTTTCACAGCGTCTGGCATGCTTGTCGTTAAACGATGCTATTAAACTATCGTCTGGTTTTTCGAGTGAGTGTTACCGTCCTGAATTGGACAAATCGTCCGAGATTTGGAATAGGGAGTTCATGTTTTCGAAAAGTATTTTATTAAAAGAAGAATAGGAATGAGTTTGGGACTCAAGAAAATGTTCGGTTTTGCGTGAAATTCGATTTTGTGGGCATTGAGTACACATAGTATTGTTCTATGTTAATATTTTTTTTCGAAAATGTGCAAGTCGAAATCTGTATAACTCGAACTTTTTATGCCAGTCCCATTAGATTCGACTTAGGCGAACTCGACTGTATGTGCAGGATAACTTACCATTTTAGTCATAATTTACTGGAATGCCCTGTCTGACTGAGCATGTAAAATCAGACAACACCTTCTTTACATCCAGCCGTTTTAAGGCTAGAAAATGGATCGCTAATAATTAATAAGCACTTCTAACCTGACCATTTTCCATCAAACATTAAGTAGGCCAGCCTTACTACTACCATGAAGGTATTAATTGAGGAGATCACTCGTCAACAGATCCCTTTGACGCGACAAACCAATGTGTTCCTCACATTTGGATTGCACACAGGCGTGTATCTCATTAAAAATTTTTTCATTAGCAAAAACTTGGCAACAATTAGCTTTTATATGCTTCAACACAGCAGTTGTGCGATAAATTAACTCATTAAATATCTTTGAAGTTAACAATGTTCCCGATTGATTATTTTTTTCTACTTTTAGTATGTTATTATGTGTACATTTCAGGAACAGGTTCCGCAAAATATTTCTGTTGTAATTACCTCTGTGTTGATAATAATGTCTAAAGATTGACTGGTTCAACTATAAAGCCGAGGCACCATAAAACTGAAAATTACTCTGATTTTAGGTTAAAATTTCGAATAGTCCACTCGTTCACACTAAAGAGACTTAGTTTATTATACTCTAATCCTCAATCATTCCTTAATTAATATCTGTTAAAATTAGAATTATCGAGTTTTATCCAATTTATGAAAATTCAAGTTGAAATAAGGCTTTTAAGGCTCAAGTAAATGTTTCACTAAATTCGGAACTCCTTTTTGTAAAAAATATTATTGTTTGGTATGTTGTAAAAGATAAATGTACAGTATTAGCTTTTAAATAAAAATGATTGTGTAGCCATAGTCTGACTGTCAGTAGTGCACATTTGGGAAGGTGCTCTTTATTCGCCATTCAATTTTTTGGTAAACTAAGCCTGCTGAGCATTTGGTGGCGGGGAACACATTTCTTCAAAGGCATCGCGTGGACGTTCTTCACGCGCTACAGCAGTTTCGTTCTTGGCTTATGTGCATAGCGCTAGGTGCACAGAGCTTTTTGGAGCGATTCCTCAATACTATAATACCTCCATGGTACTACTACTACTACTAGGACGGCCTACAGACAGGACCTAGGCTAGAAGAGGTAGGCTAGGAGGAGGTCTTGTCTAGTGTAGGCAGGGCCTATAACCTTGCTAGATACTTTCCCTATATGTTTGTGCGATGCCTTTGAAGTCTAAAATGTGTTCCCTGCCACCAAATGCTTAGCAGGCTTAGTTTACCAAAAAATTGAATGGCGAATAAAGAGCACCTTCCCAAATGTGCACTACTGACAGTCAGACTATGGCTACACAATCATTTTTATTTAAAAGCTAATACTGTACATTTATCTTTTACAACATACCAAACAATAATATTTTTTACAAAAAGGAGTTCCGAATTTAGTGAAACATTTACTTGAGCCAATTAGTGTCATTAGCCAAGTTCAGCCAAGCGTGTTTTTGTCAACAAAAGGCCTTAAGAAAATATTCATATAAAATGCTTTTTGATTGGTTAAAACATTTCCATCAGGTCAATCAGGTCACTCAGGGATCGAAGTAGTACACCATTTTGATTTTTTCCGAAATCGGCCAACTTTTAGCGAAGTTATCAACTTTTGAAAATTTCATTAAAATTTGTCGTTTTTTTCCAGAGAATTGCGAGTAATGAAGTTCAATTTTTTAATAACAAAGATTAGTTTATATATCTAAGAGTTTGTTTGCCAAATATGAATGTAATACGAGGCATAGCAATATTTTTTTTTGGCACCGCAAAACCGACGATCAGCTGTTGATCGGCCATCGTGTACACGAGGTATACCATAACGATCTTAGCGAAAGTGCTGCATATAAACAGCAATATTTTTCATGTAAATAAAATAAATATGAGTTCAAAAAGTTAACTAAATGATACTTAAAGTATTAAAATATACTTTTAGCTAATGATTATCTAAAAAAATAGTTAAATATTTAAGGATTGAAGTGGATATTAAACATAGGATGATTTCGATAGAATTGTGAGACGATGCTAGTTTTTGTTGCATGAGGATGACGTCATGCGTAACGGCCAATGAAATTCGTCATTCGTCACAAGTTGGGGGAGGGGGTGAGGGATAGTTTAATTCTATTTTCAGAATTGTGGGTCAAAGGTCATCTGAAAAATTTATTTTATAAATTGACCAATGTAATTTGCAGTAAAAATTTACAATCAAAATGTACACTATTTTTTAGCATTTACAAAAATTAACAGAAATATATGGCAAAAAGTGACAAAAATATTATTGTTAACATGCAACTTGCTATTCACGCGCTCATAAACTTCAAATGTTTATAAAACCGTAACCAGTGGCTCAATTTTCCTCAAATAAAGTTTTTTATGATACTGAGAATAAGTAGTTTTTTTTTTTTAATATGCAACTTTGTATTTATCATGTGGTACCTACCTAGAAGAGGTAGGCTAGGAGGAGGTCTTGTCTAGTGTAGGCAGGGCCTATAACCTTGCTAGATACTTTCCCTATATGTTTGTGCGATGCCTTTGAAGTCTAAAATGTGTTCCCTGCCACCAAATGCTTAGCAGGCTTAGTTTACCAAAAAATTGAACATGGCAAAATAGAGGGCACCATTTTTTGCCAATGCACACTACTTACAGTCAATCACTATGGCTGCGCATTGTTCCCACCTTGAAGCTAATACATTGATCTTTTATGAAATACAAATCATTAATATTTCTTTAAAAAAAAGATTCAAATTTAATGAAACATTTACACGAGCTTTAAAATTATGGTACAATTCCAACTTGAATTTCCATAAATTGGATAAAACTTGATACAGTAATTCTAATTTTAACAGATATTAATCAATCAAGGAATAATTGAGGATTAATAAACTAATTCATTTTAGTGTGAATGAGTGTGGACCATTCGAATGAGTGTGGACCATTCGAAAATTCAATCCAAAATCAGAGATTTTCAGTTTTACTACTGTGTTGATGCGTATAAAAGCATGTCGTTGCCAGGTTGTTGCTAACGAAAATGATGTTAATAATGAGACAATACGCCCGCGCGCCATCCATGATGATCCAAAGGCAGGGAACTTTGGTTTGTCGAAAGGGATTGCCGAGCGAGTGATCTCTCTCAACCTCCTACCTAACTAGCCTAGGTATGTTATTTTCTCCAAGGTAAGACCGACTGCATACCTACCAAGTCTCCTGCATTTGGCGGGAGACTCCCGCTTTTCGCCCTAACCTCCAGCTCTCCCGCCACGAACCTAAAATCTCCAGCTTTTCTAATAATCTCAAGATTTTTTATAAAAACCCACAATTTAATACAAAAATATCCAAAACGTGACAATTCTGTAGTTTTATAAGGCATATAAAATCTACGAAAGTTCTATCGCTTCGCGAAAATACATGCCGTTCCGATAGTAAACAATGTATTCATCAGATCTTTGGTATTCGTGTAAAATTAACACTGGTGGCGCTGTACACATTACGTCATTTCTATTTTAAAGAAAGCTAAGGGTGCAACTTGGGCATACAACCAAAAGAGAGCAAATGATGCTTCAGCCTCTCTTTTACACAGATCTCCTTTTCTGTTTAACTTGTTTTACTAAAAAAGAATTGTTTGTCAAATGTAAAACGTGTATTTGAGTATTTTGAAAATTTTGTTGAAAAAAAAAAATAAAGTTAAGAGTTTTAACACTGAAATAAAGCTATAGAATTTTATTTTTCAAAAAATGTTAGTATATATTACCCCATTTTTAAGATTTAATTTGAGCACTAGAGATCTGCTCAGAGTGCACCAGAGAGCATCTAGGCCTAAAAATTTCAGGGCCTAAGCGGGCCCTCGACCCACGCCTAAATTGTTTCGTTGCTGTGCATATCTCCATCCACAGCCAAACTCAAACTTGGCATGTATGCGACTGTATGAAGAATAATATGACGCTCCACCATGGAATGCTGGAATCACGAAAGAACATCCTTTATTCGAAAATTTGAAACTATCTAAAACGAAAACTAAAAATGATTTTCGGTGCTATAATGCGAATGTACTTACCTTCTTTAATTTCAGTACGTTACTAATTTAAAAATTCAAATGGCTCGCTAGGGCCGTTGAATCCTTATTTTCATTGGTTAGTTTGATAGTCGTTGATTGCCAGCCGTCTTTAGCTGAAATATCTCAAGGGAAGACGTTTTGAGGCAGACGACTGGTGGCGCTATACACTTAAAAATACTCAAATACTCTACTAACACCTCATTTTTCATAATACTGTACTGTAATCCCATAAAAGGACCCCTGAAGGATGTAGCATTAATGCTATGCATAATTTCATGAAAAAATACCATAAAGTAGCATAATTTAGAATTGATGTAAATTTCATTACGTTTAGAAAAATAAATTGCAAAAAAAGTCTGACAATGCCATTTCCAAGGCAATTAGAATGGAGATGTGGCAAGGAATGTGATCAAGTTTTAACAAAATATGCTATTTTGTTTAAGTTCCAAAAGGTCAAGTAAATCCACGGCAGTCGTGTATACAGAGACGATCTGAGGTTGGTTGCGACAATGAACATGCAAGACCGCACAAGCGTCAGACTCTACTAAGTGCACGGTTGGCTCTGCTGCTTTGGTCAGGAAAGAGAAATCTTCTTGGTGAATAGATTCTTGAATGAGATAATGGAAGCTCTTTAATGATCAAGTTACTGCATGGCCATTTTTATACAGTATTTTCAATACTGTAAAACCAATTTCTTCTCATTTTAATATATTTTCCCTGAATTTGTTACCATGTATAAACTTATGTCAAATGCATGACAAATTTATGATCATGCATTGTTTCTGCAAAAATGCGTGTTTCATCCTAAATCACTTTGAAATGCTGGGCGCCAGAAATTTGCCAACATGGGGTCCGACATGTCCGATGGAGGGGTCCGAGCCAAGGGGCCGACGAAGCCTCAGTCAAAGGCCTAGAAAAAAAACTCCCTTGTAGGGTTTACAGGGAGAGTTTTTATGGTTTAATATACAGTAGTCCAAAATGTACTTAGAACAAAATATTAGGAATTGGTAGTCAAAACAATGTTATTTAGGCAAATTATTTATTTTTCCATTTTTGATCCGATGACCTAGTCTGCGTCGGATGAAAGGGGGGTCCAGGCCTGTCCGACGGGGGGAAAAATGCCCTTCCCCTCCCCCCTGGCGCCACCACTGCATCCTGCAAAATTCAATTACAATAAAACTTGCAATATCAGAAATACAGTACAATCTCAACAAACAAGGAAGACAATGAGTATTGTTTACTTATTTTGATGATTTATAAAAATCATAATTCAAATCTTGTAATAAAGTACAATATATTTACAGCTATAATAAGCATAATTACTGTAGCTCTCAAATGCGCTGGTACATAACCATATTTTCCCAGGACCTTAGGATATGATGGCAAGCAGCAAATGTGACAATCATCATAATACTGTAACTTCTTGGGGTTGGCTGTCAGCAAAAGGTCTTGTACTACTGCATGATTATGTTGACAATGATGTGTTTCTATTACACACACACATATCCCTTTGCCCACCTCATGTACTTTTTTTATTATTCACCAGGCTTATTGAAGTATCTCTAAAGCCGGACACTCACTGCATCGTACGAATCCACATTTGCTTCCAGTGAGCGACAGATGACGCAACGCCGCCTGCTGATTTTCAGTGGCAATCTGAACGGATCCTTATTAAAAAGACGATCAGTTGGGTCCACGTCTTTGCGTGCATTCTTCATCACGTTGCCGTCGCACGCAGTGAGTAACCGGCTTTAGATGTCTACATGGATGTTTACCTGTTAAGACAATCACATTTTTTCCATATTTTTGTTGTACGTTTTGCAGTAGAAAATTCCGGTATTAACACCATGTCACAGTCATACATTTAACAAAAGATAGAGAGATAAATCAAGAAAGATATCATCTAAGAAAGGTATATATACTGTAAGGAAAAATAAACCAAACTTGACAAAAGGTATTTTATCAGGTGAAATAATATTTTACCTTACCTTAAAAAAGACTAGCCCTAGCCACATATCTTTGCTTAAGAACATCATAGGGGAGATATCCCAGTATTTACGTGTTAGATTTTTTAACATATTTTTTTTACATGTGCACAGTCAAGGTTCATTCATCTACAGATAGAATAATTCAATAGATATAAGTAAAAATAAACAAACATAAGTTATGGTCATCTGGTGAAATAGTATCTCACAATGATACTTGGCCCCACAAATTACAATGTTTTCTTTAGATATACGGTACAGTAGAAATATAGATAATCCAACCATGGATTGTTCATTTGTCTACAAATCAAAATGGTGGGATAATTTTATTTCTGAATGTCTATTTACAGTTTTCAATCTGAAGAAAATCAAGGCTCCTTAAAAATGAATCAAAATTACTGGAACACACAGGTTTTATTATTAGGGTATACTGTAATAATAATCACAGTATTTTGCATCTTATTCTTTTCATTGATGCTATGATTTTTCCCCAGAATTTTACAACATAATCTAAAGTACAACAACTAGTATATTTTATTTTACGTCAGAAAATTAAAAGCTTCTTGGATTTAAACCTTTGTGTGCCTAGATCTTAGTTTCCTGGTAACAATTCCATGAGAACTGTCTGCTTCTTTTGTGTGACAAATAACCTGAAAAAGAAAAGTGCATTAGTATTATTATTCACGATTTAAGAACTAACTCATTGGCTGAAAAAATCTCTTTTAACCTACTATTTTTTTTTAAATGCACAGATTATAACAACTGAAAAAAACCTAATAGAAATACAGTATAAACCCTCAATTATGAACTTGATTTTACAAATTACCAATTTCATAGATGTTTCCTTAACGAAAATCACATTTAACACTCAATATTAATAAAATGCTGCACAGTTACAGATGTACCCCGTAAATCTACCAATATACTTTACATTCACTTTTTCTCAAAATATTTTATTAATATATTTTCAAAATAAACAAAATAAAGGCTCAAAAAGCATACAAAATGCAGACTGTAATGATAGATAAATAATATAAAGATTCATATTCTAAGAGTAATCTGAAGGCCCATTTACAGACGGCAACAATCATAACTAAATGTCTCATGGAAAAGGGAAAATAATGTGTGTTCCACCTGCGGAATAAATGAATAGACCTTTGTAGTACCAAACAAGAATTTGGGCTTTTCATTTGATGGAATTATCATTATTAGTGTAATTGTTACAAATAAAAATGGAAACCACTCACCTCATGTGGATTGCATTCAAATGGGGTAGATATATCGGTCTTGTAAAGCTTGCGCTTCTTTTTTTTTTCTGTGCCTGGCTGATAGACCTCCACGATCCTGGGAGGGGACTTCTGTGGTGTTGTGATGCTAGATGCAGCGTCAGCTATTTTCTTAGCTGCAAAAGTTTGAACAGAGTATGGCTGATACAATGTAATTCAAATGGTAATACTGTACAAAGCAAGCCCTACCACCTATTTTTTTTTTAAATGCATCCTATTTGTTCGGGGTGCCTCATGGCACCAGCCTCTAGCTCCCTCGCAAAATGCGTACCGGGCCACACGGTGATCAACCTGACCACACAATGATCAAACCACAATGCCGCCTATGCATGTTATTAATTATTAAAATAATCAACTGGCGTAATATTATATCACTATAAACAAGTCTAATTATTAACTTGTATTCAGTTCAGAAAGGGTTTGAAATTCATCAGACTTGCCATACTATAATTTAAATACAATGAATTAAATAATACACCCAACAAAAATAGCTGATGAAAAATAGAAGCTAGTAATAGCAGCAATAAATGATTTTAAAAAAATGAAATATGTGTGACCAACTCTGGCAAAACCAGAAGTTTATAGAAAAAATGTGTCAGTGTAATAATTCCAGTGGCATATCTAGAAATCTTGAAGACTGGGGCGAGTAATTAACTGATTAATTCATCACTTTATATCTTTAAATTAACTACAAAACATGAAAATATTGTAAGATTACCTATACGACAAAGGTATAACTTAGGAATTCCCCTTCATGACTATTAAAAACAACAGAGTTGCAGTATTATCTGGGAGTGCCGAGACAAACTTAAACCAACTAGGCAAGCCAAACAATTTCGTAGGCAAAATTATGCCTACCCAGATTAGTAAACTTTGTGTAGAAAATTTGATTAGATTATAACAGCATGTTAATTAGACAGAATCAACGTCGTCGTTGAATGCAAATACTTTGCAAATGGTTTGTTCATTTTTAGCAACTTTCAAATATCTTTTTACATTATGGTGGCCCTGAAAAGGGCTGTTTGTTTTTTGAGTATTTTGGGGGTTTTGATGACATGATTATCGTCCAATCGAGGCGTACATAAAACTCAGGGTTCATATAACTGAGGTACGTAAAAACAAGGTTCTACTGTATCTTGCTTTATAAAATGCAAAAATATTTTCAAAATTTTGATTCTTCAAAAACGTTTTGCCAGAGGAGGTAACATAAATTTTTTTTTATATGTAACTCACCTTTATTGTGAAACATATCACCTAGCTTTGTTAAGGCAGCTCGTTTTCCGTTTCGTCTAGAGATTGATTCTGATCCAGGTGAATGACTTGGTTCCATTACAGCTGGTTTGTTTTCCATCTCCTCTTCCACCTTTGTGGCTCGCGTTCTTCTCCGGGGTCGAGAAGGCTGTTCTCTTTTAGAGGGCTTTGGTTGGAAATCATCCTCATCCTGTACGGGAAAAAAAACGTCTAAATATAGTACTGTACATCTATTTGAAATATTCATTATCAGCAGTTGGTAAATATAATATCTCTCCCAATACTCGGTGTTAACTCATACATGGCATATTTTTACAAGAAAATGTTAAAGAAGTACGTACACTATCCACTATTGCTATGTCCACGCCTTTCCTCTTCCTTCCCCGTTGACTTGTGCGCTGTTTTCGTGTTTTCTTTTTCTGAAGCGGTGTGACATTTATTTCAATTCTGCTGGTGTCATCATTCATAGTGTTCTCCTTCAGTTTAAAAGCCTCTGGTTCATCCTCTCCAACACCCTGGTTGTCTGTGGATGATTTCTCCTCTGACCGTGTTTGCGATTCCACTGAATTCGCCTGAAGATCTTTTATATCTTTTTTCATGTCATTCATCTTTCCATTCAATTCTTCCGTCTCATTTTCTTTCTCATTTAGTAAACCCTGTACTCTGACTAATTCTGCACTTAAACTTGTGAGTTCTTTGTTTGTCTCCCTTGCTTCTATCTCCCTGTCACACAGTAACTTTTCCATATTTTCTTTCTCTTCAAGCAGTTTTCTCACTTCTTCACCACTGACCTGTAATTCAATTTCTTTTTCGCTATAAGAGCTCTCAATTCTTTGCCTTTCTGCATTATTCTTCTTAATGTCGTCCTTCAAGGCATCAATTTCTCTTGCCTTCTCGTTGACTACCTTCTCTATGATTTCTTTGTCCTCACTTTGCTTCTTAATGGCCTCATTTAACTCATCTACCTCTAAACATTTTTCTGCAAGCAGTTCTTCAAAACGTTGGTTTTCTTTATCTAGATTTTCTAATTTTCCATGTGTTTCACATGTTTGTCTTTCTTTGTCCATTAGCAATTTCTCCAACCTTTCTCTTTCTTCAGTCAACTTATGCAAATCATTGGATTCCACTTCGTACTTGGCATTTTCTTCATTTAGCATAGTTATCTTCTCATTCAAACTCTCCACCTCTGTTTCTTTTTCATTCAACAGTTTCTTCATCTTTTGCTTCTCTTCATTCAGGTTACTAATCTTTTTGTTTAATCCGTCAACTTTAGCTTCTAGGTCGCTTAATAATGTTTCACTAGTTTCCTTCAACTTTCTTGCTTTCTTGTTAGACTCTTCAACTTCAATTTCCTTATCAGCAAATAACTTATTGATAATTTCCTTTTCTTCGCTTACTTTCCTCACTTTCTTTAGAGATTCCTGTACCTGCTTTTCTTTCTCAACAATTACACCCTCAATATCTTCTTTCTGTTCTCGTACCTTCTGCATCTTCTCAATCAATACGTTTACTTCCTGTTCTTTTATTTCTTGCACCTCCTTAATCTTCTTTTGTAAATCTTCTACTTGCAGTTTTATTTCTTCTTTTGACTTTATCACTTTTTCATTAATTTCTTCAGCTTCTCTTAGTTTCTTCTCACCCATCCCTTTAATTTCTTCATTCAGTTTCACTACTTTTTCCTGCTCTATGTACAAGTTCTGTATGTGGTCTCTTTCACTTCGCATTTTTTTCAACTTCTCCTTTAATTCTTCTACTTCCTTACCCTGGTATTCTTCAGACTTCAACTTGTCATTTATTTCCATTTCTCTCTTTTTTATTTTTTCATTTAACATCTTGATTTCTTTATCACTTTCTTCTTTCAACTTTTTCATCCTCTCATTTAATTCTGCTTCTGTTTTTTGGAATTGTCCATTTAATTCCCTTACTTGATTTTCACTTTCTTCTCTTAACTCCTTGATCATCTCATTTAATTCTTCAATTTGTTTTTCCTTGTCTTCTTCTGACTTCATATGTTCATTTAATTTTGCCTCTGTTTCTCTTAAACTTCCATTTAATTCCTGTACTAGTTTTTCACTTTCCTCTCTCAGTTCCTTAATCATCTCATTTAATTCTTCTACTTGCTTTCCTTTGTCATTTTCTGACTTCAGTTTTTCATTAATTTCTGCTTCTGTCTTTTGCAATTTTCCATTAAATTCACTTACTTGTTTTTCGCTTTCTTCTCTTAACTTCTCAAGCAACTCATTTAATCTCTCTATTTGTTTTTCTTTGTCTTTTTCTGATTTTATATTATCATTTAACTCTGCCTCTGTCTTTGACAATTTTCCATTTAATTCCTTTACCTGCATTTCACTTCCTTCTTTCAATTTCCGTATTTTTTCGTTTAACTCATCTACTTGTTTCTGTGCTTCCTCTACAGATTTCTTCATGGTTACATTCAATTTCTCTAAGTGTTGTTTTTCTTCATTTATCTTCTCCATATCCTCATTCAACTTTGTCAATTGAGTTTCTTTATCAGTTAACAATTCATCAAATTTTGTCTGGTTTTCTTGTAATTCCTTCAACCGTTCATCAGATCTAGCAACCTCTTTTTCTCGGTCATTAAAGAACCTCTGAATACTTTCCTTCTCTTTGTTTGATTTCTTAATCTGCTGGCACAGCTCATTCGTTTCTTTCTCTTTAATGGCCAACAGCTTTACAGTCTCCTCATGTTCATGACTTAATTTATCATTTGATTCTTTAATATTTTTTTTGTCATTCATTTGGTCCTTTAAGCACTGCATTTCCTTAGTCATACTACTGATACGGCTAGATAACTCTTCAATCTCCTTTTCTTTGCCTATCAGTACCTTATTCATCTCTTCCCTTTCTTTCCTCAAGTTAATGATTCTGCCATTTATTTCCTCTGCCTCAGTTTGTATTTGTGCTAACTTCTCATTAGATTCATTTACTTCTCTTTCTTTATTAGCCAGCAATGTTTCATTTTCTTCTTTGTCTTCATTTAAACATTTCACTTTCTCTATCAATTCCTCAATCGTTTTCTCCTCTTTAGTCAGCAGTTGTTGGATCTCTTCCTTTTCCTCGATTAGACGCTTGTTTTCCTGTTGTAACTCCTCGGTTTCCTTTTCCAATACCTCTTTGTGTGAATCCCTCTCCTTAGCTTCCTCCTCTTTGGTCAGCTTTTGCTCAATTTCTGCCTGTTCCTCAATTAGACGTTTGTTCTCCTGTTGCAACTCTTCAGCTGTCCTTTTCATTTCTTCAATATGTGAATCTTTCTCCTTAACCTTCTTTTCCATTTCCTTATTGTGTAGTTTTATCTCTTCATTTTGATTCTTCAATTCCTTAACCTGTTTATTTAACTGTTCAAGGAACGTTTCGTTGTCATTTAAAGCTGTTTCATGCTCCTTTACTGATCGTTCAAGTTTTGCCATTTGTTCTTTCATCTTCACATCACTGTTCTTGTAATTCTCCAGTTGATCTGCAAGATATACCTTTTCATTCTCCATACTTTCACTTTTCTTTGAAAGCTCTGCTTCCATCTTTTTTAGTTTTTCTTCTAAGCACTCGTTTTTAACCATTATTTCATTGACTTCAAAGACACAAGTTTCATCTCCTTTAGGTGGCAGTTCAGTATTACCTACATCAACAAAACAAACAGCCATTAAAAGTGATTTTTCTCTGAAAAAAATCAAATTGGAATTAACAATTTCTTCACATTTAAAGCACAACATCATAACATCTCTTCTTATTCTGTGGAATTAAAAACATAAGGCCGAGCCCTTTTGAGAAATATGACTGGGTATATACCTAGTGTTTGATGTTAAAATGTAATGTTTTTAAATTTATAAAAAAAAATCAAAACTATGATTTTAATCTGCTTCCAGGTAAGACATATCTTTACTTTTTTACGTCTAAACATATATTGCACCTTTGATATTTACTCCAGTTTCAGTAATATTGGCACTTTATAAATATTTAATTACATTACATTACCCACATAAACTAGAGTGATTGCTACTTTAACAGATAGCAGATTTTATTTACAAATTGAGTAATTCTCAGGGTCCCATAATATATACAGTCCTCCTATCATCCGAGACGATCTAAATCATGTAAGGACAAGTAAATTATTAAAATGACTAGTCCATGTGACGACCATTATTCTTACTGTAAAAATTAAGACTTTTTACTTGGCCTAGGCCTAGAGTGGACCGCATACCAAGCCTCAGGGACAACTACAATATCACATGAACTTGCCACTAAGAAAAAATATTATAATCACACCATGAATTCTAAATATAGTTACATTTACCAGCTTTGAGGGGTTGCTTCAGTTGTAGCACCTCCTGTTGCATGTTCTCAATTGTTCTATCACGGTCTTGAAGTTTTACATTAGCTGCTTCCAGCATCTTCTCACTCTCCTGAAGCACTTGCTGTAAATCTTTCAAAGCTTGGATCTGAAAAGACATTAGCAAGTAGTCCTATCTAGTAAAAGCAATATTTTATTTTATTACCTCCACCAAGGAGGTTATGTATTCACCGCTATCTGTCTGTTAGCAAGATTACACAAAAACTAAATAATGGATCATCATAAAAATTTAGTGGAATGATAAACAATCAAAGAAAAAGATGATTAAATTTGGGGAAGAAAAGGTTGGAGTGCAAGGTCATAGATATTCAAATTTTTACATTGAGCATAGGGCGGTATCTAGGTACAAGGTAGAGATATGCACTCTATGGAGTGTTAAAAGTCTTATTTAATTACTTTATAATTTGTTATATCAAAACAAGGAACTGAGAGCATTCTGCATACCTGTCCATCCATTGCCTCACCATCCTCTGCAATTTTCTCTTTCAATCTCTCAATCTCTTCCTTCTTGGCATGAAACTCTTCGGCAGCATCGTCCAGTGTCTCTTGGAGCTCAGTGACCTCTGACTGTTGTTTGAGGATTGTCTGGCGCATCTCACTGACCTGTTTTTTTAAAACCTCAGTAGATTCATCAGTTGACTTTGATTCTCCGGCCATCAACTCTTTGCTCAATTCAGCCTTCTCCTCTTGCAATGATGAGACCATGTTATTTAAAGTCTCAATTCTTTCATCTCTTTCCTATTTTTTAAGGTAAATTGGAAACAAATAAGTAGCAAATTGTCTTTACATAAACTTGGAAAATAATTACAGCAAAATACAGTAAAACGTCCATTTTATGAACGTCAATTTTACGAATGGTCTTTGCCCCTGATGACGTCATCACCGACCAATTAATTACCATAAAAAAGTCCGAATGCGTACGTTTTACAAAGTGATAATATATATTTTTCTTGATAAAATCAAGTTTGTTGTATTTAGATATTAATAGTTTGATCTTTTCTTCCATTTCTGGTATAATATCAATATATTAATGTAATAAACCTAACCAAATCAACAAACTACCAACACAAGTGGCGTCGGATTGAGAACATGTTTACAATGACGAACGAGAGTGTTGGGGTCACCAACTTATTGACATCGTACGTGAATGCTAGATATGATCGCGAAATACATGTAAGCAATACATTTCGGCAATCTACCAACTAGAAAGAACACGATAGAAAGGTCCATAAAACATACAGATGTTTGAATAAGAGTTAACATTTTAAGTGGAAGAATGCCAGCAATTAAAATAATTTGGTTTTTATCGAAGGTAAACTCAGCTAGGCTCTAGCACGATAGTGCAGCAACGTGGTTCATGCTAGGCCTGGCCGTCGTCAGCCTATCAGTGCTCTATGGCAGGCGATAGCAACTGACACCTGATCTAGTTTACAAATTTTTCAATTTATGAACACCACTTGGTACCAAAGGGTACGTAAAATGGACGTTTTACTGTAAAGCATATAAAATTTGAAATATTCAAGGACACAAGAAGTATTATTGGGCTCAAAAATATAAGAGTACATTTTCCAATTAGATATCTAATTAAATAGTAAATACACAATACCCCGACTTTAGTTTCTTCTGCATGTAATAATGTACTGGAAACCCACTCGTCCTCGTCATCTTCTATGCGAGCACGTTTGCGATTTTTTTTAACTGACTGCATGTACATTTCAATTCTCTTCTCGCATTTTTCTTCTTGCATCACAAACATCTGCTTGTTGATCATACTGAATACAAATTTCAATAAAGAAAATAAAAATGAATTCACTTAATATGTCAATTCCTTGAACACAGTACAACAACACTTGACATTTGGTTGTGACACTTGAAAACCAATCCAAGACTGTTCACAAATACTAATATGTAAATGTAAATATATAGATTTTGTTGTCAAATGTCTTACTAGTTATTTGCCTTTTTTCTATTTTTTTTTAATTGGTTTATCAAGAGATAACTTTCCAATTAAATATTTACAAAAGTTGTTCTGACTTGGTAGTTGTATATGTGTAGCTTTTTGACCAAAAGCATAAAAAATATCGCATATCAATCATGTAATCATTTGAGCCATTTAGAGGACTTTATACTGTATTTACCTGTATTCAGATTCAATATTGACGAGCTGCTGGGCCATTTCGTTGCACACTTCTTCCCTTATTTTGGATTCCATCAGTATCTGCTTCTGCCGCTCTTCCACCAATCTCTGCTTTAATACCTCAATGACATTTAGCAGCTCCTACCAAAATAAAACAATCACAGTTGTAGATACAATACCTGTTTTTAACTAAATAAACTTTAAAAGAAATTAATTTTAATTGCTATACAGTACTTTGATACAACCGTGTTCTTAAAACTTTGAACTAGGACTTTAACTAGTATTAGCTGCAACTTCAATTTGTGTTTATAAACAACGCAGTTGAAATTGTAACTATGACTTACTAATGACTTGTAGTGTAGCTGAAGACAGCTGGCAAGCAGCAGCCATCTAACTAACTAAAACAATTTTCTGAGAGAAAACCACATTTCTTTGTAATTCATATTAGACTACAATTGCCTTAATTAATTTCCTATAATAATAATATACCGGTATTATTTGTTAATAAAAGAGTCACCGAAAATGTGCTTTCCTTGGAGAACTATATAGAGGATGACACCATCCTTGTTCTTCTTACGATAAAGATACATGACTGCAACATAAGGCAATTTTGCGCAAATCAGGAACTACTACAGCACATGTGGTTATCAAATTTTTATTTTACTTCAAAATTGATTTTTATTTTGTCATTTTCAGGGACCAATACATAGTTAATCCTCAAAACTAATTTATGATGAAAAAAGACACTGCAGGGAACGAACAAATCTAAAAACTGTAATGCTGCCCACTATAACAAAAAAAAAGTATTTAAAAAGAAAATTTACTTTTTTGTAGGAGTCATTTTCTTCCTCATCACTTTCCTCCTCATCCTCTTCGTCCTCTTCTATAATTGTGTTATCAGATCCCGATCTGCTCTTTTCTGGCGTTTCAGCCCAGGCAATGGTCTGCCTTGAAGCCTGCAGAGTTTTAGCGGCCTGATTGTTAGTCAAAGCTTTAGCGGCTGCTACCTTTGGGTTTATCACCTCTTTCAACTTGTTTTCAAGTTTTGAAGTGACTGTTGTCACCTTCAGAAAAAAAGAATGCAAGTAGTATAAAACTATGGACTTTTAATATTAATCATATATTGATACTTCACACATTAATTATTTTTCTATATTTTTCTCCTTTATGCATCAAAAAGTTAGTTAAAAAAGCTACCATACATTGGTGCTCTATCGATTATTTCTCCTTTGCAGTAAACCTTGCCATCTATGGGCCCGTTCAAGCGAAAAAATATCTGTGCGATTTACCAGTTAATTCACCGGTACACACTTTCTAAAATTGCTCAGACGCTAGCCTAATTACCTTACCATCTGGATTATCCGCGACAATTTTGACAACCAAATTGCTGGGTAGAATACAGTGTATGGAATGACCATAGAGTCTGAGGCAATGTTAAATCGAAATTAATTGGTTTTCCAAATGTTTTGTCCAGTCCGGCACGCACAATTCGATAGGGCTACGGCCCAGGCCTGGTTGCAGCTCGCCTTCGCCTCTTCACATGCAATCCATCAGCATATCACATCATTGGAGCCATAAAGGTGGCTAGTAGAACAGCTACGCATTCGATTTGTAGATTTACCTTTATTCTGAGAAATAACCTTGAATAAACTAGCCTAAGTACATATTTTTCAAGCAGCGTTTATAAGTTCTTTAGCTTCAACATCATTGCCGCGTACCACGCTGTGCGTACATGGGCCAGTTATAGACGCAGTAGAATGTAAACAAAGAATGGGTTGGCCATGGGATAAGTTGAAAATTACTTCTGGAGTAGTTTCGTTACACAGTATTTAATGTAAGCTAAAACTTACTCGAACGGTCAACCACCCGTTGCGTGCAGCGCGATTAACCAGTGAAATATGTGGCAATGACAAGCCAAACCAGTCACTCGTCGCAAAAATCGATTTTGAGTTATTAATACAGTGTTAAAGAGTAAAATAAGAGCTATAAAATAGGGAAAAAATCATTCAAATCCGACATTTTCTTCTGAAGTTACAAGCATTTAAGCGTACAGCTGTTTGAAGAACAATATATGAGAAATCAGCCTTCAAAGTTTATGATTTCAGGCATTTCTCATGCAGAAACTATCATAAAATTATTAAAAAGTGTTGTTTTAACATTGAAATTGGGAAAAATAACAGCACAGTATGATGTATAGATACATAAACCTTAGTTTAGTGAAATAAAATAGATTATTTTTAATTTTACCTTCTAACATGTTTTTGCTATTTTCTCCGAAAAACAATTTGCGACGAGTGACTGGTTTGGTTTGTCTTTGCCACATATACAGAATATGGTTGGCATATTTTCCCTCGAACAGGGCCCTATTTTGATTGCTTCTGTGTTTTGTTATTATAAGCTATACCAGATCAAAGTTTGCTTTACAAGGTGAAAAAAAAGTCTTGCCTTATACATACTACCACTCGATGAGGAATATTACTTTCACTAACCTGTTTGGCTATGGCAGAAAACTTGAGCACATGCATAGTCTCATCAAACATTGAGGCACATTGGTTGACATTAACTATCATCGATGCTTTGCCATGACCCATGAAGAAACTCTGGAACAGCCTTGTCAACTTGCTTTCCCGAAACGGAATCACCTTCTGACCTCTGAATACGACAAAATCAGATACATTTTCCTCATTGATACAATTTAAAGCAAATGAATATCAACAAAATTACTCTAGATTGATAGTTCTTATTATATGCTATAGTTACTGAATATTTGCAAAGAGATAGAAATAAGCATTAAGCTAACTTTTGTTGATGGTGTTGGTTGTATCGCAACACCTTGATACATTTTCCCAGTGTCAGCAGCGAGTTGTTGATGTTGGCAGCCTCTTTCATTCTGTCTCCAACACTCTGCGTCTTGGTAGACCTCTCAGAGCCTGCCAGATCACAAAATGACAACCTATATATTAAAAAAAAAATTAGGCTAGTTATACAAATCAAACCATTCTTAAAAGGTGATTTGTACAATTTGTTAAAATTATACATTACTCCCACAATAATCTGAAGAAACTCGAGATAATGTAACAGATTCAGAAATATTAAATTTACTCACGTGCTGACCCTGGCTACATGTGGCTCGGCCACGTCAACTACCCGTAGCACCTTAATACTGAACACACAGTGACTACGGCTGGAGCAGTGGTTTAGTTTGGTAGAAGCAATGCTGAGATTCTTCTGGCCAATCTTGAGCATCTTGTATGCTTCATCTGACGATGTGACCATAACCTCTTTCAAACCTACAGAATCAATGAGTTGCGCTATCAATGTTTGCACTACCGAGAACCTGCCACTTAAGCCGGGTACTAACTCCGCCCGGCAGTCGACAGCCAAAAATTCTATGAAGAACGCAACACGACAGCAGACAGCGTCGTGTGGTCTAGCGCTCACACGACTCCCTATACACCATATAATTACATAGCTTATCCCTCAGCCTCCGGTAGGCAACAGAAAAAGAGGACTATAATAATCCACAGCACATGGAGACAACTACTGTAGTTGACATTTGGAAAGTGCTGGAAAAAATTGCATGACAGCACAGACGGAGGTATCGTGCTTGTAAAATTTAGATAAAGACAATAAATTGTCATATTAAAAACAAATCATGAGCTTTAGTTTTGATTTATTATTTAACTGATCAAACTACAGTGTCGGGTGTAAACAAGTACAGTACTGGGTGATTTAGAACTGTCCATTTTCAAATGGGGTATAACATTTTTTTTTATAATTAGTTATTTTTAGTTGTTTTTCTTACTATTTTTTATACATTCAACCCACCAAATTTGTGTGTGCCGTTGAAACAAAAGTGTATGTTCAGTTAAATAAATAAAATACGAGTAATATCGCGTGTTGTCAGTATCGGCATAAAAAAACATGTTTCGCATGGAATTCACATAAATTCAATTAATAAAAAGTTGTTTTATAAAATGCAAATTGATTTAGCTTTAGTTTAATGCAAAATTTAAACTACTTTGATCATGGACTATGTTTTCCGAGGCATGGTTCTTAGCATGCGATCCCTTTCAGCAGCAAACAGAGCAATAAATTTCTAATTATGGATGTTAGCGCAGGAAGGTGATAACGCTTTTTAAAACTGATGGTGGCCAGCAACTATATCGGAAATAACTACAAAATCTGATGCTAAACGTTATATATATTTAACGTAAAAATCACTGAATATTACGATAATCTCACCTATGCACGGTACTGAACAACATCCCAGCACCTAAAATAGAACTTTTGGAAAACTGATAACATCTTTTTAGACTAGTCCCGATCCCTAGGTCCCGGCTTACGACCGCGAAATATGATCAAGTTTTTGTAAACACACACACGTGACACATAGCTAGGGCCTATGTACAGGGGCCACTCTATTCATTAATTTACGTCAGATGTTTGGTAAGAAAACAATTTATCTTTTAAGATAATATTAGATTTAGACATTTATGTATTTTCTCAAATTTGACGTATAATCGGAGCATAAACTTTTTGAAGATGATGTTCTCAAAAACTGTTGAAATGGTCCTATTTTCCTATTTTTGAGACACACGAAAAATGGATACAAAGTAATATTAGCATAAAAAAATTAATTGTTTAATGTAAACCCGTCAATACTGTAAATACAACAGGTTGTACCAAAGCTGTTTGAACTTCACACAAATGAATGTAAAAAATAAAATAATTTTTCATCATACAGTACCTCTTATGTAAACATTGCCATTCTTGTCCTCTGCCAGTTTCAGTGTCTGTCTACGAGCTTTTTTGCCCTTGGGCATAGGCTCTAGTAGATCGTATATATACTCATTGTAAATTTCAACAAATGAAATCCAGATTGAAAATTTTACAGGTCCCTGTGATTCAATGTCTATGGACGTGTCGTCTGGAATTCTCAGATTGATATCATTTAAGATGTTAGAAACAGCTATGGAAACATGAAAAATTACAAATAAATTAATTGTATTAAATAATATACACAAAATATAGAATGCAAAAAAAAATAAATTATGAGCTAAAATTAATAAATTGACAACTGTAATTGAGACAAAAATGATGAGCTTAATTAGGGGTGGGCATAAAAAATAGTTGGACGGCCAAAGTGAACTTTTAACACTGAAGGCCGTACTCAAGCTTTGATGTTTCCAGTGCGCTTCATTTTTGCAGGCCGCCAGTAATCACTGTCGGGCCGCGGGCTGCACTTTGCCAACCTGTGAGTCTGATATTCAATTTTAGAGCCAGGCTAGGAACTGGGGGAAAAAGGGCATAACCACACTTTTTTCCACCTTCCCCCAGTTTTTAAATGAGGCAAAGACAATCCAAAGAGTGACTCGTCGCAAATCCTCTTTCTGAGATAATGGCCAAAACATGCTGGAATATCAAAATTTTGGAAATCTATTTTATTGCACTAAACTAACCCTTATATATCTATACATTATGCTATGCTGTTGTTTTCCCCATTTCCAATGTTAAAACAACAATTTTTAACAATTTGGTGATGGTATCTGCCTGAGAAATGCCAAAAATCATTTACTTTGAGGGCCGATTTCTCAAATACTGTTCTTTAAACAGCTGTATGTTTAAACACCTGTAACTTCATAACGAAATGTTGGATTTAAATGATTACCATTTTATAGCTCTCATTTCACTGTTGAACCCTGTATTGAAAACTAAAAATAAATTTTTGCAACAAGTGACTGGTCTGGCTTGTCTTTGCCACAAATATTCAAAACATCTCATTAACCGTCAAACTGCAATGTTGTGTCTTAAAAAATCAGATGTTCATGTAACAAAAACGTTCTTCCCTCCGAAGCCTGGCTTTAATAATATTGAATAAATAATCATCAATTATATTATTTGATATTAATTAAATAATGGGAGTTGCCATATATTTAAATGTTATTATACTGTACAGTATGATCGGTAATCTTTTATCGCTGTAAAATTATTACATTGAATTTCTATGTTCAAATTGATAATTTTTATGTTACACATACTTCAAAATGAGCAAGTTAATTTCAAAATATACGTTTTATGATTTTTATTTGTATTTTTTATTTGACAACATCTTTATTAATCTAACAATTTAATAATAATAATAATATAACACATTTCATTAGTGCCTATTAAAGAAAAAAAACTGGCTTGTCACCAGCGTTGGAACATGAAATAAAGGAGGAAGGATTTATTAGATTGGATTTGAATAATTCAGGATCATTAAAACATACAGTGAGTATAAATGGGTGATTCAATTTATGAGTAGCGTGTGTTATTAATATTATACCCATTAGAGTTCTGTACAATTATGCTGCATGTGGTTCTTTTTTGATTCCTGATGATGACATAATTAATGTCGAAATATTGAACCCCGACATGATGGCGTGCATTTCGAAACTTGTATTGTATGTATTGTACTATCTTATCGGGATCAGAGATAATAATACTAATAATAGTGTAGTTTATATATGCACATATCCATCTAATGCAAGATGCTCAGGGCGCTTGATATGTGAACTAGGAACTCGATCAATGACTTTCTTCGCCCCTAAGGGTCTCTTCATGTCTGTGCTACCCGGTAACCCGGTACCAGCAACTCTCTTCATCCACCACAGGGGCTGTCTGTTCCAGTACACTAGGATATCCCCCTACTTGTCTCGAAGTACTGGGTTCTTTATAGTGCACACGAGCCATTGTATACACTGGGCCTACGGTTTATAGTCCTTATCCGAGAAGACTAACTTTCTACCACCAGAACCATAGGCAAGCGTGCCGTTCGAACCAGCGCCGATATTATGGCTATAGCTTGCGGCGCCCCTGCAAACCGCTCGGCCATTCGACTCACTTGAGATGATACGCAATTGTGGGGGCAGAGTTCCAGAGTTTAGGAGCAGAAAAGGGAAAAAAGGTGTTCACCAGTACGAATGTGCTTGACTTGTGGAGTAATTACAGTAAAACGTCCATTTTACGAACGTCTATTTTACGAATAGTTGATTTTAAGAATGGTCTTTGTTCCTGATGACGTCATTATCGACCAATTATTACCGTCAAAAAAGTCTGATTGCGCATTTTTTACAAAGTGAATATGCAATTTTCCTAGAAAAATTAAAAGTATTCATTTATTAATATTTCGATCTTTTCTTCCATTTCTGGTATAATAATCACTAATAATGTAATAAACCTAAACGAACAACGAACTACCGATGCAAGTGTCGTTGGATTGAGCGCACATGTTTACGATTATGATGGGGTCAGAAACTTATTGACATCTTTAATGCTAGCTATGGTCACGAAATGCATGTAAACAACACAATTCAGCAATTTTTATCGAAGGTAAATTCAGCTAGGCGCTAGCGTGGTTTACCATGCTGCTGCACTGTCGGTTCGTGCTAGGACTGGCCGCCGTCAGCCTATCGGCGCTGAATGGCAGGGGATAGCTAGGCCAAGGTAATGGAAACTGACATCCGATCTAGTTTAAGAATTTTTCAATTTACAATCATGTGTTTAATCGATGTAATATTTAACTCTACAATGTTTTAATAATTTGATGAATTTTAAATATTTTATATTTTTATATTGTACATAGAAATATTTTACTACAATCTTCGCCTGTAAGTGGGACCTTCTTGGTCCTGTTGGACGATTGAATAAATAAAAAAAAATTTAAAAAAATCCCTTGGTACCAAAGGGTATGTGAAATGGACATCTTAAAATTTTAAATCCAAGTTTGTTGACCTTTGGCTTCTTGTGGTGATAAGGTACATATCCTACCAGAAACAGACAAAATCCAGAAACTTACATTCCCTATCTTTTGTTTCATCTAGGGCTTTTGAAAGTGTTGGGTCCTCAGCAGTTGAGTTTTGTGATGATAATCTTGAAGAGTCTGATTCAGAAACATTGCTCTCATCCTAACATAAGAAAACAGAATATCATAAATATTCATGACTTTTTTGAGGCTTTATAAAATTAATAGGGAAGTAATCAAGAATGTAATTTTTAAAATATTTGTGTAGTCTACAAAATAGAAATATGGATGCTAGCTCTTGCAATTGAGAAATGCCCAAAATGGTAAAAATTAACGACACTTTGTTTAATGGTAATACAGTAGAACCCCTATGAATGGGACACCTTCAGGACCAAAAAGTGTCCCCTTAATAGGGTACCCCTATTCAGGGGAAACTTACTAAAAACATGAAATTGTCCCCTTTATAAGGGTTCTTGGTATGTTTTCATATAACGATGACATACAATTCTTCATAATTTTATTTTTTTTGACATAATTAGTTACAGTAGAATTTATAACTAATTTATAGACATAATTTTCAAAGCAAATACAATTTAATTATAATATGAAATAAGCAGAAATGTAATTAAAACAACATTAGTTTTATATGTTCCCAATATTGCTTCATGATGCAATGTTAATGAATGCATTGGAATCTTATAAAAGTGCACGAAAAATGAAGAAAAAGAAATCCACAATGGTTAAGGGTCAAAATTGACAAGATTGGTTTATATGAAGTAACACATGCAGTATGCCTTACCGATATTCATTCTAAGGATTTAGGGAGAAAATTCTGGTTTATTGCCCAAATTTCAAACTTCAGTAGTCAATTTCAATTTATTCAGAAAACATCCGGAACAGAGAAGTAAAGCAGTAAGCCTACAATAACTTTCAAACAATAGAACAATTTCATTAAAAAGGATAAGTTATTCATACATATACCAGAATAATTAAAATAAAAACCAAGAAAAAATTTGAACAAACTCTCAAAATACAATCAAATCAATAAGCGGAAAGAACAGAACACCACTTAACGGATACAAGCAAAATAACAAACCATGAAAATACTTAAACACACCAAACTACTACCAAACAAAGACGGATTATTTTACTTGGTTCAAAATTCTTTTTTTGCAATTTTAGATAAAATATTATTATTATTAATTAATAATAAAAATAATAATAATATTATTATTATGTAGTCTAACAAAAGCTCACCCTTCAGGGCTCGCAGAATCGGGTGCCCGACGTCCCGCGGCAACCAAAAATTTACGTCGGGCAACTCAAATTTAAAAGGGTAGGTCCCGACAGGCAACCTCTAAAATATCAGATGTTTTGCAGCGACTGAAATACAGACTATACTCTACACAATTAGTCACATAAGAACGAATGGCCAAGCCACCGAGATTGTGTTCGTGTGTGTGTAATAAACTGTGTGAAAATTCGGTAGTATGGAATGCTATCTAAATAAAGTTAATGGTAACCATTTATATTATAAACGAAGCAAGGAATTCCAACCCCAATAATAATCGTGATTCAAATAACAGCAAAAAACTCAAGTAAAAAGATCACAAAATTCACGGGAACAGCAAGGAACAGCAGCTCATCGAATCAATAACAATGAAACCAGGTGTGTCCAGTTCGTCATTGTTTAAAAGAATTCATCGTCATAATGGCTTGAGGTAGCGGTGTAAAATTTCCAAGAGCAGTTTATTCCAAAATGTAATTCACCAAAATGGCTTCGTCAAAATATGTCCAAATGATGGTTATGAGTACCACTGTTTCTAATGAAAGGCCATACGAGAAATTCAACAGAATCACAAACATTAAAAATACACAGCAAACACGATAAAAAATGCCATCAAAATTTCACTAAAATAATAAAATTGAATCAGATACTGTACAATTCGATGGTTGGTTAGCTAAAATATCGACTCCAGAAGATTAAAGAAGTCCAGTTTCATCGAGATGTAACGTGGAATATTGCACAATATTTTAGGCTTGAGTAATGCCGTCGAGACTCCACAGCAGTGGCCGATATCCTTTGAATTTCCCGGGCGAGGTAGAATTTAAATACGTTGTAATACAGGCCTACGGAGCACCGCTTAGACACATCCGCTCACTGCGAGGTCATCCGATTTAACCTACTGAGCACTGCTCTCAAAGTACACGTGCTCCAGCTAACTTTATTTTCTTTGTTACACGCATGCGTAGTAATTCATTCATGCACCAAGCACTGGTCATGATCTCATCACAGTCGTAAGTTGTTGTTAATTGTTACTAACTTTAGGTGTACATTTCAATCATCACACCCGGCTGTAGGCAATAAATCTAAGGTCCATTAGTGTACAGTATTAATTAAGTACTTAAAATAATTATTGAATATTCTATTAATCTGCCTTTGTGAAAAATTCCCATCTCAATCCCGATCGTAGGCCTATTAATTTGACACTGACATTAAACTACGCTTGATGATTGTTTACAATTTGACTGCGGTGTACCGCGAAGAAAACTTCTCACTTCTTCTCCAAAACCCTATCTGGATGAAATGAATGCTTATCTTCGAAGATGTCGAAAGTTTTTGTAGGCACCGCTGATACTGCTAAACAGGAGATACACTCTGCATATTTTCTTGGTCTAGGCCTAGTCACTTTTATTTTGATTTTCATTGCGAACGCGTCACACTGCTGTCCTTTCTATGATAACATAAGTTTCTAAAATGTTTCAAGCCGTCGTCAAATTACGATACCGACGATGCTGCTGCTGGGTAAAATAAATATTAAATATTTAATTAATTTGCCTTTGTGGCAAGGCCCATCTCGATCCCGATCGTATAAATTTGACACTGACATTAAACTACACTTGGTGATTGTTTACAATTATACTTGGCGGTGTACCGCGAAGAAAACTTGTCACACTTTATTTAAATAGTCACTGTGTTTCTCTTTTTTCAATGTTCATATAAGAAATAATCAATAAGTTATTAAAGTACAGTACATTTATACATATGATTTGTTCAGACTTTTCCTTTCGTGTATTTGCAATTCTTTGAGTTAATTGAATAATGTCATAAAATAATTCAAAACAGGTGGTGGGCAAGTAAAAAATTATGAGGGCAACCAAATTTGAGATATTGGTTGCCCGAAGGGCAACCTAATATTTCATAATTCTGCGAGCACTGCGGGGGCGTGCAGCAGCCACTCCAAGACAT